GGAATTGAGGGCACCCTGTTGCCAGGGGTGGGGAAGCTGTAAGCCCTTTGGCTGTGTCCTCTTGTGGACAACCTTCCAAGGGCCACATGCTGCTGGTGGTGGTGGGCAGGGCCAGAGACAGAGGTGGCCGGAGCAATGGATGTGAATTTCAACCATTATCCAGTAGGCTACTTTCTAAACACACACACTCACACAGAGCCTCTCTTCTCCAGACAAGCCAGTGGCATTATCAAGAGTTCAAAAACACATACTAGACAGGCAAAAACACTCAAGCTTGTGGAGCAATGTCAGTGAGGGATGTGACCTAGGGACAGCCCCAAGGGTGGTCTGGAGGTCCATTGCTATTGCAGTGTTGTGCCTTACATACTGTATCCAGTGGAATACAGTATTCTTTCTTTGTCCTCTGCAGAAATCTCTGCCGCCTCTGGGCAATGGCTGCTGTTCCACAGGGGACGATACCTCTGTGTTTGCTCATGAGCATCTAGTCCTTGAGAATTAAGGGCTTCCTATGAAACTGAGGTGGGGCGGGGAAGGAGTCTCTCGTGTTTACAGAAGCAATGAGTGCCTCCAAAACTGATAACATTTCCCCATGGAGTCACACAGTGCGGTAAGCAAAGAATTCCACAACAGGCGCTGAAGCTTTCCTGCTCAGAGGAAGGAAGTCCTTGCTTTGTGGGCTTTTGGGGCTGGTAATTACTACTTAAAGGATGAATGGTCTCCTAGTTATTGCCGCTATAAGGGCTAGACCCCAGGGTACCATCAAGTCACCATACTTCAAGAAAGAATAGCATATGTGGGAGATTGTTTCCTTTTCAAAACTTTAGAATGGATGTTATGCTCCTGAATAGCTAACGGGTGCCTTGGGCAGGGATAGAATTGAAAAGACAGATGCATCTTTCCCATTCAACCAGTATATCACTCAACTGACCACACCATCCTTTCTTGAGGACGTCTCAGCACGAAGGTTGTGTCAAACCTGTGAGTGTACAATGGAGACATCTTGTACACAACTCCAGTATACAAATTCTTTTTAAAAATGAGACGTATTGTGGCTTACTTTTGCTTGTAAGTTAACCCACTGCTGGCTGGGAAATGGGCAACAGTGTTTAGCATGTGTTGCCCACTTAAAAATGTACTACTGGCTGAGATGGTTGTCCGTGCTCTGCTACTCACTGGGTAGATCATTATCATTCCCGATTTGAATAAAATCTAGAGCTAGGAGAGAGACCAGGGGCTGACGGATAATGCAGAGGTGAGCAGATGACAATCTTGACATGCTGTTAGAGCTCCATCTGGGAAGACTTCCCCATGGAATAAATAAAGGACTTCCACATGCAATAGAGGCTGAACCCTTGGGGTCCCAGGTACATGGGCTTTATCATCATGATCACTGTCTATAGTTAGCAAGCTGTAAAATAATTTAATGGGAGAGAGCACTGACTTACAAAACAGATCCTTGGTCAAACACCCACACATAAAGCCCCTGAGATGTCTCGAAAGGTCACAGAGCTACCGTATTTTTCGCCCTACAGGACGCACTTTTTCCCCTCCAAAAATGAAGGGGAAATGTGTGTGCGTCCTATGGGGCGAATGCAGGCTTCGCTGAAGCCTGGAGAGTGAGAGGGTCGGTGCACACCGACCCTCTTGCTCTCCAGGCTTCAGGAGAGCCCCACCGCCAGCCCCGCAAGCTCGGGGGACAGGGAAGGCGCAGTGCGCCTTCCCGCTATCCCCTGACGTGGTTTCAAGGCTGGCGATGGGGGAAGCTCGCTTCTCCCGCCGCCATCCCGCAAGCTCGGGGGACAGCGGGGAGGCGTAGCGCGCCATCCCGCTGTCTCCCGACGTGGTTTGGAGGCTGGTGGCGGGCTTCCCCCGCCCCCAGCCCCACATGCTCCCAGAGCGGGCTTCGCGCAGCTCTCCGCAAGCTGTGGGAGCCCGGCGCGACTTCGCGCTTGGCTCCCACGGCTTGCGGATAGCTGCCTGTTCTGGGGGCTGGGGTCGGGGGAAGCTCGGGCTTCCCCCGCCCCCGCCCCGTGCCTGGGGGGGGGGAATAAAAATGTTTTCCTTTATTCCCCCCCCCCAAATCTAGGTGCGTCCTATGGGCCGGTGCGTCCTATAGGGCGAAAAATACGGTAGTTAGAAAATTATGCTTGTTAGCTTGGGTGGGGCCAACCGGTTCTTATGGTCTAATGTATCCTTGTAAAATAGGAGTTGAGAGTTTTCCCTCCCCACATAAGGCATACTACTAAGCAATATATATCCCAATTCATGCCTTTTGAAGGCATGAGCTCTGGCTCAAATAAAACAACTCCAGGTGAATTTTGGCGAATTCACCCTGATGCAAAACAGAAGAATTATTGCAAACTGCCCAGCAATAAAGGGTAACTCATGCATTCTCCACTGCATAAAGAGATTGGTTCTGTCAGTCAGTCAAAAATTATTATTGTGCTACTTTTTTTAACATGTATCACAAGCTGCTGAGTTCCATGGTCTTGGAGATATCCTCAACTACAAAATTCAATCCAAAATTAAAAATCTATTCCACTTTCAGTAGAACCAGGAAAAACCAGTACAGAGCAATTTCTACATTGCCTAACGTGATCATGTTGCCAGTGTGCCACCCAACATCTGGTAGGAATTCCCCATGCTGACTGGAGCTTGGGTTTGGTTTCTACTTGTTCTGGTGAATAAGGAACGGGCATACACAGAAACAGGATGCTAAGTGTTTTCTGACTACCCCCTTGGGATCAATGGGCTTTGCTTACTGTCAGAATTTGCTTGTAGTGACTGCCACTGTAAAGACAGTTGCTGGGCCCCTGGAAGAGCACACTGCCCAGACCTTGAGGTGGCTTTTAATCCTTTCTCCTTGCTGGTCTCTGTGCTTTGAGAGGGAAGCAAAGTGGGTGGGTAAGGGCTAGGACAGACAGGGAAATGAAGCACACAGTTCACCACAGTGCAAAGGTCTCATTGCCTGAGCACAGTGGAATGTTGTATCCCGGCAGAGACAAAAGGGGCTATGCTTATTTCCACAGTGCACGACTTGGCTCATCTGCATGGGGCCCCTCGAGCTGCTCCTCCAACTATGACGCACGTGGCCTAAATAGCAGCATTTGGGGTCTGGGGTGGGTGTGCGATCCTCTTGGCTGACATCAGTGTGTCAACCGCAGGGTTCTTCAATTTATTTCGTCTCAACCAGGAAGCCAAACTTAGCATTAGTGTGTTGTAATTGCAGCTGAGTCCCACGTATAACGCTTTACTTGCTTGGAGTATTAATTTACCCCTCCCTCTTTGACAACACAACAAAGATCCTCTGGATGTCTTCCCTTCACCCTCATCCTGGCAAGAATGCTATTGTCCCCTCACTCTCCTTGAAAAGGTGTTGGCTTGAAATAATATTTTCAGTATTTTTCTCCCTGTCACAGCTCAACCCAATAAAAATAAGAAAGAGTGCATGCTTTCTACACAGCCCTTGGAATTAGGGGTATGAAACGAAACTTATTGCTCGATGCAAACCTTTTAGAAATTAAGCACTGTGATAGAGGCAGGGGGAAAGTCAACACAAACAGGTGCCATTCTGGATTCCACCTTCCATCAGTTGCAGCCAGCATAGGCAATCGTCAGGGATACTGAGAGTTTTACTCCAAAAATTCTGGAGAGCATCAGGTTGGGAAAAGCTCATGTATACTAGCAGCAAACTTAGGGATCCGTCTTGCTAAAGAGCTTCACCTATATACAAGTTGGAAGATATCAGTGTGCTTGGTTCACGGGGTGGGGGCAAGGTTTGCAGAAGTACCCATTTTTATTTTTTAAGGGGGAGGAGAAAAACACAAAAATACCTTCATAAGGACTTGGCGTGCTCAGTACACACAGAATGCTGACTTATTGCTGGAGGGCGGGGCAGGGGAAAAGAAAATGAAAAGAAGGAAGAGGGGAATGGATTAGGGCAGGAAGAGCCAATGTTGGGTGCTCCAGACATTGTTGGACAGGGTTCCCATGACTCCTGGCCATTTCTGAGGCTAATGGAGTCCCACAACCTCTAGAAGACCCTGGAATGAGGCATTCTGAACAGAAGGCTCCGTGCTACAATATTTTGTTGCAGGTCCCACATGTATTCTGTAAATGAACACCAGCTTTTGAAACCACTTCTAGGGAAAGAAAGAAAGAAACCCTGGTGCAGCAAAGAAGACCAGAGAGAGTGGAATGAGGTAGCCAAATTGCTCATTTGTACCGCTGTCTTGTTGACAAAACTCTGCGAGTTTATTAGAGGAAGCAGAAACATTACACAACAAGCAAGGCCAGAAAGCCCCAAAACACATTAGCTGAAACCACATCCCCCTCACAGGGTCTGGGAAATGTATTTGGCTTCTTGTCATCTGACCTCTTTGAGACAGCATTCCAGCAGGGAAACAACACAACCCACAAGCCCCAATGCATTTTCAGAGCACCAGCGGCTTCCTCAGTGTCTGGTCTGAGGCTGGGAAAATAGGCCAAAGAACTGAGGGTGGCAATGGCTTAGAGTCGGGGGACACTAGGGGCTCCTTGGGAACACTGAAGACATTTGCCACCCAAAACCTGAATGCAGTGTGTTCTGTTTCCCCTCTGAATATGCTGCTCACAGTGCCAAGCTAGTAAAAAGAAGGTAAGAAAGTCTATTTGTGGTGAGCTTTTCAAACAGCTCATAGCTCTACCTTCCACTGTAGTAGCTTAGCATGAAGGCTGAAGGTTAGTGAGCGGAAGGCAGACTATTTTCAGGAGCATGTCAGAATTCTGATACAATGAAAACAACCTTTCGATGAGGTCTAGGACAACCTTTTTCTCATACCTGGTTTGGCCAGGCATAATCCTTCAGAGTTTGTCTGCACTGCATTTCTTTCCTTCTGCACAATCGTCCTGCAAGTCCCTCCATTCTGCTACATCCAGTACCCAAATCATAGAATTGCAGATTTTATGGAAGGGATCCTGAGGATCATCTAGTCCAAGCCTTGCAATGCGGGAATATACAGCTGTCCCATGCAAGGATTGAACCTGTGACCTTGGCATTAACAGCACCATGCTCTAAACAGCAAAGCCATGGAAAGGAGATGTTTGTATTAATGCTGAGATGGTTAATTTCATGGAGGAGGAAGATGAAATTGGCATGCCTCTGCCAATGTGAAGAGCTGCTGTGTGCATGAACTTCAGATTCCAGCAGTGTATTTCTGGCTGCCAACATTCTCAGTGGCTCTTGCTTTGTTGGCTAAGAGTTGCTTTTCACCCAGCAGCACCTTCCTGTCACCCTTGCTGTGTGGGGTGGCTGCCCAGAATAAAAAGAGAGCACTGACCACAAAATATGTAACATTCATGCTCTGCTTCCCTTCAGTTATGCCATTAAGAAATCAGTAGTGGAAGGGATGCAAAGAAGGAGAAGAACCCCCCCCCCAAGCCCCCTGGGGCTGCATATTTTGCACTTTCTATAGGGAACTGTGTTTTGCTCCCAGACACAGGCCCCTGGGCATCCTCTAACATTTCTGAAGTTGGACCTGTCCTTCCAAAAAAGGGCCCAGGGTTTAAAGAGCTTCAGGTGAGGCGTTTCCTAGTTTGTGCATGGAGGGCTCTAAATTGCTTAGGGCCCAGATTAGACTGCCTTCCCAAGGCAGTCTGGCATCCTAGTAAACACATTTTAAATTTAACCGCACTAAACGCAGCACTTTATATGCAATCAATCATTCTCTTAAGTGCTCTACAGAGTATTTAATTACAGGTCGCCCATGGCCTTCAAACCTCTGCCTCCTGCCTCCCTCTCCCATCTCCAGCCACGGCACACTCACTGCCATTGCTGGCTGGAACAACATAGCTCTGCCCCGGGATCAGAGCCTAGATACATTTCCCTACTAGTGGTAACAGTAGAAAAAAGAGAAGTAGGACGTCTGGCTGTGTAGCCCAACCTTTTCTGCTATACTGAAGCCTATAGATTTCAGAGGTGGGTGGAAATCAGATTGGACATCTCCTAGCCATGTAGGTGCTAGATAATATCTTCTGAAATCATACAGTGGTACCTCGGTTTAAGAACAGCCGTGTTTACAAACTATTCTGTTTAGGAACTCCGCAAAACTGGAAGTAGTGTCCCGGTTTGTGAACTTTACCTCGGTCTAAGAATGGAAGCCGAACGGTGGAAGGGAACTGGTGGTGGGAGACCTCCTTAGGGAAAACGCACCTCGGTTTAAGAACGTTTTTGGTTTAAGAACGGACTTCCGGAATGGATTAAGTTCGTAAACCGAAGTACCACTGTATTGTGAAAGAGAGATAATCAAGGTTTCATAAATCCTAGAAGTGTGCACTAGTCACAAGATTCAACTTTTATCTGTAGCTTTAGGAAGCAGGACTCTATTTTGTAGTATTCTGTGTCTTTCCAAATCATCTCAATATTTAGGACCAAATGAGATCTGGTAAAAATGATTCTCTCCCCTCCCCCCTCCATTTACTCTAATTGGGAATCGAAAAACGACTATAACTTTTCCTCTTCACAAAAGTGGATGGCATTTGTAGATGTAGGAGCCACTTGTAGATGCAAGTAGATAAGCCTGACAAATTGGAGGCAGCTACATCCAGGGATTTCCATGCAGGGCACCTTTAAAGTTTGATTTTAAACAACAAAGTACAGTCCATAACTTCTCCATTTTCTGTAAGGAAGAATAATGTGTGTGAGAGATTACAAAACAGCCCAGCACTTTGCTATGTGTTTGCAGTTCCCATTTAATTTGCTTGGTACACATGAAGTTACCCTCAAACAACACCAATCCTGATGCTTTCTCCCTGTAAATTTGGGTTTATTCAATATGGGGGTAATCCAATAATTTAGGGCAAACTGGGCTGGGGCTGATGGATTTGAAATCCAATAACATCTGGAGAGGTAAAAGGTAAAGGACCCCTGGATGGTTAAGTCCAGTCAAAGGTGACTATGGGGTTGCGGCGCTCATCTTGCTTTCAGGCCAAGGGAGCCGGCGTTTGTCCACAGACAACTTTCTGGATCATGGAGCCAGCATGACTAAACTGCTTCTGGTGCAACAGAAAACGATGATGGAAGCCAGAGTGCATAGAAATGCCGTTTACCTTCCCGGCACCTATTTATCTACTTGCACCATTTCCCTATCCCTATCCCTGCCTTATACTGTCATGCAGTGGCGTAGCGTGGGTTGTCAGCACCCGGGGCAAGGCAAGTAATTTGCGCCCCCTAACCCGTGGATTTTAGTAGGGGCAGAGAGCTGCGAGCGCGAGCGCACCCCCCCCAGATGTTGCGCCCGGTGCGGCCGGCCCCCCCTGCACCCCCCACGCTACGCCACTGCTGTCATGGCTTCACCCGCTCAAACACCTCCTCTCCCAGTGATGAGAAACAAAGTTAGAGGATATTGCCAGACCTGTGCTGTGATTCCTTACAGTACTATAATTCCTAGAGATGGTTCTCAAAACCTGTTTATATCAGGAGTGCAAATACTGTGCTGGCTACAGATACAAGAGCTTCATTCAAACCTTTGACTTCGGATGGTTCAACCCTATTTTTCTTACACTTTTTTTTACTGCATTTACGATACTGTTTTTGGAACTAGTTGACGTCTGCCATTGACCTTATGCGCGACCAGCCAATGGACATTCCTGAGTGGATCCCTGAGCACCTGGACGAAGGCCCACCAGGCTCTCCTCCCGTACTGATTTAATTGCAGGGATGAGTTGTGCATACCTCCTTATATAAATTAGTCCTGACTCCTTTAATCTCCCCCTGCTGTGGCAGGAGCCGATAGTAGATGGCTGGAGATTAGCAATATCTCCAATTAACAGTGGAAGGAGCAGTCTCCTTTTTAGTGGCAGATGTCTGAGATCCTGCAACAAGTTTCTGTTTGGAAAAGAATGCTGCCAGCATGGTCATAAGTGTGTAAATTGCGCAAACACACACTCCACCAAACATACTGTTTATAATGGATCCTATGGAAGCCTAAGGGACGCGGGTGGCGCTGTGGTCTAAACCACAGAGCCTAGGGCTTGCTGATCAGAAGGTTGGTGGTTCAAATCCCTACAACGGGGTGAGCTCCCGTTGTTCGGTCCCTGCTCCTGCCAACCTAGCAGTTCGAAAACACACCAGTGCAAGTAGATAAATAGGTACCGCTCCGGTGGGAAGGTAAATGGCCTTTCCATGCACTGCTCTGGTTCTCCAGAAGTGGCTTAGTCATGCTGGCCACATGACCCGTAGGCTGTCTGCGGACAAATGCGGCTCCCTCGGCCTATAGAGCGAGATGAGCGCGCAACCCCAGAGTCGTCTGCGACTGGACCTAACGGTCAGGGGTCCCTTTACCTTTATGGTAGCCTTGTTAAACTAGCATCTGTTTTCTTAACATGCTTTGGAGAGAATGATTGGTGGACTTGTTCCTAATAGTGGCATGTGCTATTCCCCCCCCCCCATTTTGTGACAATGGCAGGGTCACAGAGGTGCATTTCAAATGGAATAAAAGCAAATGCTTCAAGGGAAGGAGCTCTTAAGGTGGTGCATGGCTATTGCAAAGAGAACTGAGCAGCTCTCAAACTCCCCCACTTGAAAATTGTGGGGCGCGGGGGCGGCGCTGTGGTTGGTGGACCACTTAATAAAACCTTGCTTTTCTAATATCATGGATGTGCTTCTGGGTTAAAGATGAGGATAAACAACATTTCCCCTTCTATACTGGTATCTTCATCAAAAATAGTGCTGTATTATGAAAATCTTAGGCCCCAGGCCAGAGCTTCTTACTCTGTTTGATCTCCTCTGACTGAAATGGTCTTGATCGCTGTTATCTGAAAAGTAATAATTCAAGTTTATCTGTTTGTTTATTGTTTCTTCTATTTATGGACCACTTTCCATCCATCCATCAGGATTGCAGGAGCAAGTTCATAATACATTAATAGAACTGCAAAGAAAAAGAAAAAAACACACACCAGGAGATTAACATCACAAAAAACAACACATCAATTATGGCAAAACCCAGGAATTTAAAGCACAGGTCCAAGTGCAGATATTCTAAACCAACTGTTCCCAATTAGCTAAGTACTTCAGACCCCCAGTTTTTCAAAAGCCAGGCCATGGACCCCCTACTTTTGATATCTCTATGGTAGTTCTCTATGCCATGGACCCCCTGGGTAGGTTATGCAGACCCCCTTGGGTCTGCGGACCACCAGTTGGGAACCACTGCTCTTGTCAACAACCAGGGGGGTCCATGGACCACAGTTTGAGAACCTCTGTCTTGGATAAATTGGCACTGAGATTCCCATTTTGACCATCTGGCTTAGGGTCAAAACTGACACATAATGCTTTTGTTTTATTTTTTTAAAGGTGTATGCATGCCTAAGATGTTGGTGAATGAAATACAGTGGTACCTCGCAAGACGAATGCCTCACAAGACCGAAAACTCGCAAAACGAAAGGGTTTTTGGTTTTTTGAATTGCTTCGCAAGACGATTTTCCCTATGGGCTTGCTTCGCAAGACGGAAACGTCTTGCAAGTTTGTTTCCTTTTTTCTTAAAACCGTTAATACAGTTGCGACTTGACTTCGAGGAGCAACTCATAGCACGCGGTGTGGTAGCCTTTTTTGAGGTTTTTGAAGACTTTGGTGATTTTTGAAGCTTTTCCAAAGCTTTTCTGACACCGTGCTTCACAAGACGAAAAAAACCGCAAGACGAAGAAACTCGCGGAATGAATTAATTTCGTCTTGCGAGGCACCACTGTAAAACACGTTTGCAAATGTATCGTGGGGGGGCTGCCCTTGGCCCTTGGCTGCAACTCCATTGCTTGCATATCTGGTGGTAAACCAGCTCAGCTGAGCAGGCTTTGCCAACCTGGTGCCCTCCAGGTGTTTTGGACTACAACTCCCATCAGCTCTGGCCTAGCCAGCCAGCACAGCCTGGATTTGAGATGTTGGGCGCTAGGTTGACAAAGCCGCTCTAGGGATTTAGAGTTGCTGGGTGGATCCTCCGATGGATTTTGCCATAGAATTGGTGTAAGGGGAAGTTATGTCTGCCTCTCTTTGCTGACTGGCTGCTGGGTTTTCCATCAGGCGCCAGGGCTTGCACCGATTCCCTT